GGCAAGGCTGTAGCTTGTATTTTATTTTTATATTGATTGTAATTGTCTCATTTGAAACAGTTTTAATGTTGTCTATTTTTTGTTATATTTTTACTTCAGTATTAACTTGCTTTAAAAAAAGAATAAATGGGCATGTCATTTATAGTGTGAGTCTTACACGCTATGACTGCGGATGTAGTGTGTTATTGTACGTTTGAGTTCCCAACTTTTAATGTCCTAGTGATAAAAATGTTGTTACTCACCACCTTAGTTCTCATAATTTAGAACAAACTGATTTTTTGAGTTACCAGCTCCTGAGAAAGGTTTTGCTGCAAAGGAAAAGGTTTATCCCTCCGCATTAGGTGGGTCTGGATACCAAGGAGGGGTGACGTGCTCCGGGGCACAGGCCGCCGCGCAGCTGAGCGCACGTTCTGCTGCCGCCTTTCCCTGCTTGGGCGTCCGGGCTCCTCGCTGGCAGTGTACCAGCAGGAGGGAGAGAGGTTTTCATGTTGTTGTGGTGCTGCCTGCTGCTGCCCTGCCCTATTTAATACTTTGACCCAGGACTCAGAGCACTGGGTGGTTTGGGGGGAGGGGGAGGGAGCCTTCAAGTGCTATTAGAAGGAAATTCTTAAACAGTTGCTGTGGATATTACTGTCACACATGCCTGTTTAAATAAACATCCTTTCATTAAAAAGAAAAAATAATCAAATCGTTATTCCAAAAATACATTGTTGCTGGGACTAGCATTTAACCAATGCAGCAAGTGTAGCTTATAGACAAAAAGATTCATTTTCTTCTTGTAGTTTACAAAACTGAAAATGCTGCAAGGCTAACAGTTCCTGAATGCTTTAAAACCTTTTTTTAAAACTAATCGTTTCTTTAAAAACTTCACTGACCCCTTTTTTTAACTGGTTCTGCACTCTTAAGAGATGACAACTGTGCATAAACCTTGTCAGCTAGCATAAGTAAGACAAAATATTATTTTTATATTGAGTGCAAATTTTCTACCATTAGAATTCGTTTATGAACAGTTACAGTGTAACAGAATACTGCAAGCAGTTCTTGAGGATTTTTTTTTTTTTATCAGTATTGTGTAAGAAAAATTAAGTTGTCCTGTGTCTTTAAATATTTTAGCCTTTTTAACAAACTACTGCTCTGCAACCACACTTGAATAGAGGAAACCTTTCTTCTTCTGTACCGTCATCATAGGCGATACATCCCCCCTCCTGAACACTCGTTCATTTGTTCCCAGCCATGTCAGTCAAGTGTGTGCGTCTGGCAAACTATCCTGTCACTATCGCGGGGCTCTGCCTCTGCCTGGAACTGACAGCAGGTACAGAGAATGCTTTCAAACAGCCTTGAATGATTTTATTATTTTGTTTCTTTTTTTTAATCTCATTTTATTTTTAGAAGGGAAATGTCTCGTCTCTGGTATGAGAAGAAGGGAAGAAAGCATCAGCCAGTTAATCATAAATATGCTCTGGTAATTTTCAGTGTAGTGTGTTCATTTCTGTTACTGCATTCTTGTAATGTTGTGGTGCAGAGACAGTTTCTGAAGTTTAAATTCTGAATGGGTGAACAGGATGCGAAGTCACAAATGATCATTACTTGTATGTGCATAACCTAATTGCTGGTATCCATTTGCATTAGATAAGAAAAGCTACTTTGAGTACTAAGGGGCTGAGCAGTTCCAGATTGGTTTGGTGTTTTTCTCACCCCTTTTGGACTAATGTATTTTTTCAACAAAAATGTGGTTTATAGCTAAGTGCCATGAACCGTAGTTTGCATCGGCATTTAATTAGAAAAGTAAATCTCCCATTGTTTGTACTTTCTGAGAAGTCATTCAGCCATATGAAATTCTGATAATATTTCTAAATTGATAAAGATGAGCAAGCTGTAATCCCAGTCTCACATTTATAGTGAAGGTGGGAACAATACCACTGTTTTTACAGTTTATGAGATTTATGAAATTAACTGTGGTGGTTTTTTTTGGTGTTTTTTTTTCTGCAAAAAGATGTAAATTTGTATTAGTATGTAAAGGAAATGGTTCTCGTGGAGACTTGCAAATCAATTACATCTTGGGGGTGGGGAGGAAGTGTTCTTGACAATATACTTGTGCTTTTACCAGCTGGTAGGCCTAGAAGATGTTTTTCATTCAGACTCTGCCTGTGGCAGGGGTTTTACTATCTTTAGGATTTACAGATCTCTGGGGATTGGTGTACACTTCTTTAAAGGTGATGCTGACTTTGTTTTTTATGCTGATCTTTATTTGTAGGCAGGTTACTCGCATAATATGAAATTGTCACGTGGCAACAACTGTTTCTGTAAATATGTGATCCTAACTAACAAAATGGTTTTGAAATAATAGGCTTTTAATTTTCTGCTGTGGCAGTGGAATGTAGACTGGCGGTGTAATTTCTAAATTAACTCCCACATAATTTGAGCATACCTTGTAGCAACAGTAAAAGGTTCCTGAAGTTTACCAAGAACTTGTTCTTTAATACATATCTATTTATATAGAAATATCTTAGCCAGCTAATTAAAAAAGCAGTAGTATCCCACGTTAGAATTATTTCCCTTAGAACCAATGCTACCTTTTATCCAGAGCTGAACTATGCTAATAAAAGCAATAGTTACCAGCTCTTAAGCAGAGGTTGAACTCAAGATGACTATATGAGAATCTTCTTTGATGTGAGAGAAGTAGAGAACAGGTTATTTTAATGTGTAAACAAGTCAGAAAAAAAAAAGGATATATAAGTACGTACAGACAAGAATATTTTTGGAATGTTGCTGTATCAACTAGACGTGCTCCATCCTTGAAGTTATGTGGAGTTTTTTTTTGTTTACCTCAATAAATGGTCATAAAGCCAATGTGCAAGTGGAGCTATCATACAGAAAAGAGTGAAGGAGTATTGGTACTATTATTTTTGTCTTATACAAGGCAGTGAGAAGCAGAGTCTGGCAGCATATTTGAAGTACAGGTTTTTGACTAAATGTTTCATTAGTGGTTGTTCTGAAATGTGGATGAAAACCCATCTGACATGAAATAATATAATTGCTGTACCAAGTGGAGTGTTAAAACAAGAATGCTTGCTTGAAGCAACTAGGTTGCCCTGGATTATTTGCCTGAAAGATCTTTGTTATTTTTGTGGTGACAGAGTGGATCTGTGCTGAGCATTATAAGGGTTCAATACTTTCCCAGGACAAGAGATCAAAGTTTTGGTGAATAACCAATGCAGTATGCCCCACTTCAAAAAGTCAGTAAAGTTGGCTTCCCTCTTCATTTAAGGAAATCAATTTGGTGTTTATTGTGTCTCTTTATTGTACTGCAACACAAGACATGCCAGTTAAGAGATGCCAGTCTTCCTGTCAGAGTGCTTTAGACAAGATACCAGACAATGCAGGAGAGCAAATGGTGGATTGCCTTTCTTGGGAATGCTTGGCAGATTGTTTTGCAGAGCTTCCGTGGGCAGCATAGCCACAGGGGGCACAACCAATGAAAACTTACCTTTGGCTTTAATTTTCTTCAGACATGATGCTAAGGGCCTTAAAGTGATATTGGTTTTAATACCTCGATTTGAGACTCGCAACACTTGTGAGGTTCTTGATTTATTGGTTAACTGTAGTTGGTAAGCTAATGGCTGCAGTTCTTGAGCTGTTGCAGAGATATAGTAGGAGAGGCTCACATTGGTAGATGAGAATTTAGTACTTCATCCCCATGGATGTCAGAGCTGCAAGGTTTCATCAATCCCTGCAAGGTTGCATCAGTCTGATAATATTTTTAAAGCTTTCCATACTGTTTTTGTTTTAGAGAAATAGCATGAACTGATAATCTGAGTCTCTTTAAAAATAAAAAAAAAAAACAACACATTTTCTTACACAGACTGCTAAGCGTTGGAAACTTTCCTGGATAGCAGATATTTGCCATACCTGCTTCTGTAAATAATCAGGGGGGTTGTGCACCATACCTTGACTAGATCGTCTATTTAATTATTAGCTGTTGTATTGTTTACATTTTTAGTAATTGTGGAATATTAGACCTCACTAGAAATACAGTCAGAGTACAATAGCAGATGAACATTCAAAAAGGTTCCTTATAAGTTGAAAGAAAACAAACAAGTAGTAGAGGTTTGTGTTTTGCCTTGTATGTTTTTAATGGTCTGTGCAATCTGAGGTTGATCCTTGGTTGAAACTTTTTCTGATAAAAATAAGAGACAAACATTCCCATCCTGGGCAGTCTTTCAGTTACCTATTTGTAAGCAGCATGTTTCACACTTTCTCTTCATACCTGAGTGTGTCTCAGCATGTCATTATCAGGCTGAGATCAGGCTGAGTGCTCAGACTGCCTTCTCCTGGAGTGGCAGCTTGAGGTTGAGCACCAGGTGCTGTAGTTTCGGCACCTGAACCTCTGGTTTCTCTTCTTGCTAGTGCTGAAGCCTCTTTAAGTTGGTTTGCAAGAGGGTTGCATTTTATTGGTAATACTGCTATAGATCTTTTTTTCTTTGGACAAAATGAGTTGTTACCTCACCTTCCTCTTCAGAGAAAGTAATTTTCATAAATCTAATTCTTAGGTCTTCACACAAACATCCTGAACTTTATTTAATATTTGCCCATGTTGAATTTAGTTCTCTTGCTGGCATTATCATATCTGTCAAACAAGTGATTTCTCATAACTTGAAAAAACTTGTACTGAGTCTAGAAACTTCTATAGCAACACTTTATGCTGCATGCTTTGATTGCTTTCTTCTCAAGTTCATTTATTAATTCTGGTTATGGCAGATATTTTAATTTATCTTCAGTGTATGTTAGTTGGCACAGTGGGCTTAGAACACTTGGAGGCAGATACTAAACAGTCCATCTTGCAAAGCTGTGGGGACAGTACTGGTCACAGGGAGAATGTTGCTGTCATGTAACGTACTGGGCTGTTCTGCCACTGCTTTGGAAAACACGCTGGTGTGCAGAACAGTTCTGAGACAGCCTCTTAAAGGTGCTGACAGACAGACACACAGCGCCAGCCACTTCAGGGCACTGCTGTGATTCTCCAGTCCCTCTGCTCTGCTTCAAATGCCCAGCTCTTGTACCTTCCCTTCCTTGTCACCAGTGGAGTGACAGCGAGCTGAATTGGCTGAAAGCAACAGAAGACAGAAAATTGTTAACTTGGCAGCCACACTCATTAGAAATTAATCAAATTCAAAACAAATTAGTCTCAGGGTGTTTTTCAGAATGATACCTTTTAACTGTTTATCTGATATGGTCCTAAGCCATCATATTTAATGGAGAAGACTGCTTCTTTAATATTGCTTTCTCTTTAAGCAATGTCTAACATTTTTTTTGGTAGCAATACTGAAGAATTTAATCTTGCTTTTCAGATATTTAAATTTGTCTGAAAAACAAAGTCATTGTTCACTCTTAAAATATTAATAATGGCATTCATTCTATAAATGGACTCTTTATTTTCACTGGAAGATATTTACAACCTTTAAAAAAGTTTTGATCCTTTCTTCCTCTTCCTTATTTACTGAGCGATTGCAGATGGACTGATATTTTGAAGTAACCCTGTAAATGGCCTGATAAAATTACACTGGAATGTGTTTTTTCAATTTAACATCCTGGAACTTTAAAGGTGAACCCTTTTTTTTTTTTTTTTTTTTGACTCTCAATAAATGATGTTAATGAAGCTTGCAGCTCATCTGTTTTTACAGAGGTGTATTAAGATTCGAAGTAAAATTACCCGGCTTTCATTCTGTTCCTTAGTATTTGGGGTTTTATTTCATATTCACAGTTCAATGTAAGTTATCTATACCCTCCTAATGAAGAGATCCACTTAGACCGTTACACTTTCTCCATTCTTATCTTTCAGAAGCACTGTTCAGCTCTGATAAGACCTTTCCTTTCTGTAAGGAGGCAGTTTCATCTACTTCTTAGCTGGAAGGTTAGCTGTACTTGATGTGAGGGCAACAGTTACACCACCCTATTAGCAAATGTGCATTAAGTGCCTGTGCTGGTCACTCATTACTTTGTTAAACTGGCAGAGGAACTGGTGTAAGCAGTTTTCATGTTTTACACGTGAAAGGGCTAATGTGTCACCCTCTCTATGGCAAACTGTCCTTCATGGACATTCAAACAATTGTAACTGTGTTTCCATGTATATTAGTGAAGGACAAAAAAAATTCTGTATTAGGAATTTTGATCTCTTGTTTTGCTTGCTGTGTACACCAGCATAGCTTGCAAGAGTTAGGTACTCTGACATACTTTCAGAAAAACAAGGTTTACAAAAATGAGTTTTACCAAAAGAAGAATCTCTTGATTGGCTGAATCGTTGGCATGCAAGCACTCAGTTTGACTTGCTGCATTAAATATTAAATATGTTCTGTGTTCTGCTAAGTGGTTAACTCACACATACATGCTGTAGAGGGTCAAGCTGAAAGGCAGATTAACCACAGGAGGTTTAGTAGGTTTTCTCTCTTCCTGCTTTCTTTTGGAAGTAGAAAGTAACTGAAGAGAGAACAGAAGGTCCTTCAAGAATGCTTCCTGATCTTCTAAATGTGTCTTTGGGTATCAAGGAAACTGTGCTGATGTGGCACAGTGAAGAGAGTAACAGTAAAAAAAGCACATAGCAAATTCATATAGGTAGGCTTGCAATTTAATTCTGGGCAGAATACATAGATCACCACAACTTGGGGCGATCTGGCAGTTTCTGGGTAAGGACTTGGACTGTGTTGGAATTTCAAAACCTTTGTTGTATATGTTAAGGACTTAAATTTAAGAACTTGTCCGTGGTGACTTGGGACCTTGCTTATTCAAACTTTGAAAACCTCCAAGGACAGAAATTCTGCAGCCTCCCAGAGAAGCGTGTTCCAGTCATTAAGCATGGATAACATCAACTTTTTGAGCCCAAGGTCCAACTTGTATTTCAGCCTTGTTCTTCACACTTGATACATAACCGATTTGATTGCAAGGCTTTTTACTATAGGACAGGGTTAAAAGCCAATAAATGGCATCCACTGCTTCCTGCCCCAAACTGAAAGAATTTTATTACAAAGAAACATTCTGTCCTGAAAAACACAATCTAGTATGATGCATACTAAACTGCCCTTGTCTTTGTGAATGAAAGAGCTTACTTTCCAGGTATTTCTAATACCATGGAAAAAACTAATGAAGTTCTGTATTTAAGAATGAAGGTTCAAAGTGGGATAAAGTAGGAAGTAGCTTCTAGAATAATTAGGAGAACAGACAGCTGACACAGGTGTAGGAGAGAGGGAAGAAAATTGCTGGTTTATTTGGCTTGGTGAAATAGAATAGAGGATTAGTATCACAACAAGGAAAGAAAATGAAGAAATCTTCATGGAAAAGGAAACAGTATAAGCAAACTATGGACTAAACCAGGTTCTAAGACAGAATAAACTTCTAACTAAGGATTCTACTAACATTTCATCCTTCTTGGGCCTTGCAGGGACAAAATGCTAGCTTTTTGCAGGCTACATCTCAATCAATTCCTGGATGAAGTTGGAGAATGTGGTTGCTAGTAGGCTTAGATGAAACTAAGGTAAAACGTCATGATGAAATGAGCTACAGAATCCTGATGTACATAATTTTGTCCACTGCAAAGCAAAAATAAAGTATGTTGACCTAAACTAAGTATTTTATAGAATGTCAGGAGCAGTAGCTGAATTATTGAGGTACCTTAATGTACTCATTTAAAGCCTGTTTCAGTGATGAGTTGTTAACCTTGAGACAGTTTGTCTTGTTGTTTACTCACAGAATTTTAGTATGGACTGTATGCTTGAAGTAAGTACTGGGTTTGAGTGGACTGTGTACTTAAAGTAGGCACTGGGTTTGACAGGGTGGATTCCTTGCCCTTAATCTTCCTGTTGATAGTGTGACGTTCTGTGACATGCTGTTTACAGTGTTTACCATTGCATACCAATGGTCTGCCACTGTGCCAGCTTTTGTTTGCAAGCCAGATGCAAAGATGTGATGTGATGGTGTGCAACAGGTTCAGGGTGCCAAGGGGCTATTCCTGTGTACAAACTTGGATAAGTATCCATGCTTCTTTCAGGTAAGAAATTTAACTACATACCTTGTGCCTACTGTTCTGAGGATGCAGACACCCCCGTGGCACATGAGAAAGGCTTGATAAGCAGTTCCCAGGTGCAGGATGATGATAGTGTCCTTGACAGGTCAAAGGCAAGGTGGCGTTGCCTAAAAAAATTTGCCTACCTTCCTGTTTGTGAAACAGCAACTATGTAATGGTGTTGGGATGATGAGGACTTTTTTTTTTTTTTTTTTTTTTGGCAAGAATCTCCTGAAGTAACCATACATTTGTGGCCCATTTTAAGCTAACTACTCCCTCTCATGTGGTAAGGGCTAAGCTTAAAGAAGCAACAAGGCTTACAGGGTCCTCACCTGATTGCTTTCCAGGATTACGTTCCTAAGGTGCTGGTGTGAACAATGTAATTTTCAATGAACTGTCGTAGCAAACAAAAGGATAAAACTACACTGTCACTTCTGTACTTGAGTGGAATACTGTTACAGCTTTGCATAGGGCTGCTTGACTGAGAATGCACAAAACAATACAATTTACAGCAATTATCTTGATAATTATTAAGAGAACTGTGGAAAACGGTGGAAATAAATTGAGTGCTAGTAATTACTGATTATTCAGTAATAAAACCAGATGTCACAAGTATTCCTTTTTCCTTGCCTTGCAGTTGCATGGGGTAGAGTGAACCATCGCTGCTCAAGAGCCAGTCATGCGTGACTGTGGGCTCTGTACTCAGGACAGTGGCGAGTATCTGGCCAAACTCCTTGTAGTAGGGGCAGGTAGATGGGGAGCTTCTGGACTTGTGGTTATCTTCTTTGCACTGTGGTAGGCTCTAGAAGTTTTTAATACACTCTTACTACATGGGACATCCATATAATCTCTCCACCAGCTGTTTTAAGATGCTTTCATAAAAATGATGATTTTGAGTCATTCTCAAAATCACATTATTTGCTGTAGTTACATCAAAATGACTGTTTTAGTCCTTTAGCCAGCTTGTTGCACCAGAGCAGCATGTTCTAGAGCTTTCTGGCTAAAGGCTTTCTGGCTGTACACCTGCTGCCAAAGTGGAGGTGCCATTTGGAGGGAGTGTGTTGACAGATAAGCAGCTCCTGAATCTTTGGAGGTGAATAGAAAGTACAGTATAAAGATATTGTGAGGTGGTATTGGGGCATTTTTAAACTTTTTAGTCTTGTTACCTTGTCTTTAACTGTACCTTTACTCTGTCAGATAGAGGAGTCAGAACCTACTGGGAAGCCTGAGGTTTGCTTCTAGTCTTAATCCAGGAAAGCAAACCAGATTCACATTAAGTGTAAAGAGTGTTTGAGAGAACTTTGGACTGCAGAGTATGGGTTAAGGCACGCAACTCAGATTGACTTCTAATTTAGCATCCTGATACTGGTGACTTTATGCGCTCCTATATCAGTTCTGTGTTCATCCTAGAGCAGTGAGTTACGTCTGACTGCTAGTGTCATTAGTGTTTAATTTGTGATTTTGCTGTGTCTACTCATGGGTCTAAAATCACCTATGTGCACATTGTCCTTGCAGAAACAAACATCTTTTAGCACTTCTTGTTTGTTTGTTACCATCACACATTTCCCTTCATTACTTCTCTCCGCTTTTTTTCTTACCTTTTTACTTCTTTTCAACTGTCAGTGGAATTATTGTCTTCCTGTCTCCATATTCAGGTAGTGTCAGTGGCTGAGTATCACCGCAGGATCGATGCTCTAAATAGTGAAGAACTGCGCACACTCTGCAGACGTCTCCAGGTGCCCTCTTCCGTAGTTTAAACCCCACCTCAAGATACTTAAACATCTTTCTTTGTAGTGTCTTTGATCACGGCAAGTCCCACATTCAGTGGGTTTGTCTTGTCTACAGCACTACAAGGATCCAGCAGAAAATTCCTTTGTTTTGGATGTATTTAATTGTGCGATGCTTTGATGGAATCCATAATTGTATGATGGACTTAATACTTCCAACCTTTTCAAACAGGAATTTTCTGTTTAGAATTTAAAAATTTGTTCTCATTACTGCTTGATTTGGAGTGATGTGCTTTAGCTTCCACTCTAGACTGGTGTGTTGTTAGATAGATGCTTGCCTAAAAAGAATGCAAACCAGGCGAAGAATCCAAAACCTTGTTGCATGAGTGTTTAATTTTATATAGGAATCTTTAATCAAGAGTCTCACAGTGCTTGGCAAGTATGAAGTTTCACAACTTCTGTGGAGCAGGTAAGTATTTTTCCCATTTGGCAAGCAGGTAACTGAGGCAGTTCAACAAAGCTAAGGTCATACACATGGAGCTGGTAATGAACTGTCTGTTCCAAAACTGTTACTCAAAAAACAGTACTTTGATTTGGATTTTTAAAAGTTTACTAATACAGACTTAAACTGATACTTGCATTCTCTTTAGGTGTTTCTTAGTTCTTTGACAATTATAACATTGTTTGCTGCTGTGTACATCATACGTAACTTACTCACTGAAAGTATAGCTTAGAACTTGGAAGTATTGAGTGTTTTGTTTTCCTGCAGTATTTGGCTGCTGCAGCTGTAAAAAGTTTCAGGTTTTGGTTGTTTTTTTTTTTTTTCCTTGAATTATTACTTTATTCACCTGTTATTTCTTTTATTTCTGTTTAATAATTGGTAATAAATTGCTATAGAACACTTTGTAAGTAGTATGGTTACAGAAGTCAGTAATGAGCATGAACCCAAAAGCTGTAGTTTTACTTCTATGGAAGAATTAGACATTTCGGGGGGGGTGGGGGGTGGGGGGGTGGAAATCATTCTCACTTGAGAGCAAGACAGTTCTGTTTCTAGTGAGTGGTGGTGGAGAATCCTTGTATTAATATCATGGAAGAGCTCTTTCCAAATATTTTTCACCTGGAATGCCCAAACTCAAGGTTTAGGCTGACTTGAAACATCCTGTGTGGTGGGCCAAAGCCTATAAACTCTATCTGAATTTATGGCTCTGAGCCCTTTTAAGTGTCAGTGGTGTAGACTTGGTAGCAGTTATTAACCCCAGAAGCACCTGGAATCTGATAGCAAGTGAGCCTGCTCTGTCAAAGTTTAGCAGGAAATAAATTTGCAAGTTTTGAAGCAAACTGGTTTTTGACAAACAGATACCTTTGAACAGACACATCTTTGCTGCTACAAAGCAGTGTTCTTCCTAGAAAAAGTTGCTTTACTGTAATAATAATAATTTTAAAAAGGAAAAAAAAATCCAACTACCATCAACAAAAAAAGTCAAGAAATAACAACTCCACCAGCACCACTTCAATCCAGATTATTCGTGTTTTATGTGGTGCACTCTAATCAGAATTGAAGAATAACAAAGGCAGTATGCTTTTCACTGTATACATGAGTGATGCTGAACTCTTATGGAGGAGAAGCAGTAGGATATGATGGGTGAAAGACATTTAAGGTGGAAAAGAGATGGACTACCAAATAACACTTTTGTAGATCACAGTCTATAATGCAACCTATAGGTTATCTTTTTGTACCTAAAGTTCTGTGGGTAGATGAATATATTTTTTTGTTGTTGCAGTGAGGAAATTGGTGCATAGTTTTACGGTGGAAATGCTTATCACCTTCCACTGAAAAATGGAACGCTTGAGCTTTTTGCTTGCTTTATGCTTTCTTCAAGCACACCTTTTTTTGATTTAAGAATTAATATTGTAATTGTTGTATGGATATACTTGGATACGTTAACTTGATAAGCCTATTTTTAAGTAATATGAGTTTGTGTTAGTAACGTTGCAAAGTTCTTGAGGAAGAGAGAAGGGTTATCCTATTTGTTTTCTCAGGTAGCTCTATTTATTTAAATAGCCTTATCTGTATTTCAGTGTTTTCTGTTATTTGGCTTTTCTTTTGTTAACTAAGAAAGCTCTCTTCACAAAAGCTCTTCACAAAAACTTGGCAAAGTTTTTTATGGTGGTATGTGAAATACCAGAGTTGTGTCCTGTATGTTTAGAGTATGAGGTACATGGTGAACACTGGTTATTATTTTGGAGATGACAAGTGGTTTTGGCAGGTATTTTGTTGAAATTCTCAGGATTCAGGCTTTGAATAATTCAGACAGTCTGACTTTCAGTGAAACTTGGTTCAGGCTGATCTCAGGTGCACTCATTCTTGTTGTGATTTTTTTTTTTTTTCCTTCAGTGTATCTCAGCATTTTAATAAGCCTTGCTGCAGTGGCTTAAGTTACTAACTTCCTTCAGTTTGTCCTACTCCTCTGTCAGATTTCGCTATCACCGTGCAAGTTTTAACTCTCTCTGCAGCAAGATTAATAGAAGGAAACCTGTTTGGGTCTCAGCTAGTCTAGCTCTCGATGTGGCACTTCAGCTGGAAAGTGCCAGCGAATGTGGACTGGGGTAAGAAGCTGTCCTGAACTGTATCTGATAGAGTGTGGCCTTCTGCAGCCACCTTCACTATACAGTGATCTGTAACAGCTCAACAGAGTAAATATATGGGGCAGTTAAACTAGTACAGGATCTTCATGCGCAGTGCATCTTTTCCAGACCCCAAAGCTTGCCGTGCAGCATAAATATTACTGCTGCTTTCCCCTCTCCACCCTCTCAATTCTTTCTTCCTTGATTCCCATAAGTACTTGAGCAGATCAGCTTATGGAGCAGCAATATTCCTAGGGCTCCATTCAGATGCTTTACTCAAAATGCTTGACAGCAGTCTTTCCACATATCTACTGCATATCTGAAAACTTTCACAAGTACTCTGAAAAAATATTGATTAAGAAACTACTGAGAAGTGTCCATGTTGAAGCTCTAGTCCCTTTCCTGTCTGGTTTTTAATTACATTTAATATAAGTGCTATGTTAGTATTAAAATGCAAGCACTGTGTAAGCTGAACTGTGAAAAGCATTTGAAGTCCTCTAGCTGTATATGAGGACTCTTTGTTTTGGGTTGTTTTAGCATAAAACCATAGCTTTCTTCTGAGTAGGTGTCTGTATAATTTATTGTTACTGTATAGTTGAGTACCAGCTTGCTATTGGAAGCAGTGGAAATCTTGGTCAGATCAAATCTAATGGATTTCTTAACTTTTGAAGGAGTTGCATAACTAAATCGGTAACTGCATGATTTCTAAACCTGCAAAATTTATCTTCGCTGCTAATAGAATTTCAAATACTTATTTTCTTGGTGTTCTTTTTCTAGATAACGACAAGAGAAGATAGCAATTCAAAGCAGGCACCAAATATCAAAACAGACCTGGAGCCTGAAGCATTCCGGCCAAATCTGAGCGATCCCAGTGAATTACTACAGCCAGAGCAAATTGAAAAGGTATTAATTTATAGATGTTGTTTTTTAGTATTGTACATTAATGGATCACACATGCTAGGACCACAGTGTAAAACACACCAGAAGGAGGACTTCGTATTATTGTAAATGCTTAAGCACAACATAATTCGTAGCTAAAATGTTGCTTTTTTTTTTATTTTAACTTTCAATATGCCTTGTGTCTTTGCCCTTATTTCATTTTTCCTTGAAAACAGCTTGGCTTTCACTGCAGTTCATACTGTCCAGTCTGAAGTCACCTCATTAAGTGTGTTTATTGAAGGTTTAGATCAAGGATGATTGTATACAAAGGAGCACAAGGGCAAGGGTCCTTTACCCTTCAGCTTGTTCCTGGTTGACTTGAGCCACCTAGTTCCCCAGTCCTGAGATGCAGTGTTGTTATGCAAGAATAACCCTATGGTCTTATGTCTTTAGATGAATCTTTTAGAGACCTTACCAAATGCATGTTCTTCAGTTGGTAAATCATTGATCCCAGGTCACTAGTAGACCTAGGAAAAGAAACCTACTTAAGAGACCAGGGGTAGAAAATACACGTGTGAAACTTTAGGGTTGTTCTGAGCTTTGAAACTAGCTTTTAAGGACACTTGTAGTACTTCAGAAGAACATAATCGGATTTTATTTCTATGTAACATAATCTTTAAAATACTGAAAAAATATATTACGTAAGAGGCTTGTTGTTATCTTGTTAACAGCTCACAAAATCTCTTCCACCACGGACCATTGGATATCCATGGACTCTTGTCTACAGTACTGCAAAGCATGGCATGAGCCTGAAGACTTTGTATCGAAGTATGCTGGGATTAGACACTCCTGTGCTGCTGGTTATCAAGGACAGTGATGGACAGGTAGGAGGATGTTTGTATGGAGGTGGAGGACCCATTGTGAAGAAATGTTTGAGAAGTATCAAGGAAGAGCTGGCATTTCAGTCCATCATGAGAGATAAAATTGTGTGTATCAAGCTGGTCCTCCCTTGTTATGTAGAGGCTTTTAAAAACAGTTTCACTGCCAAGCAGTCCTCTTATGTAGCACGTTTCTAGGAAATACTTTAATGATACAAGTTCACTGTCACAATGCATGAGACGCATAATACCCAACTGTGAAAATTTTCTAATACTCTTTTTTTAATGTACTTGAAGCACAAGACTTATAGTCTCTAAAAATTTCTGATTCCAGAAGACCTTGTTGAGTTGGAATGTCATTGTCATTTGTGGCCTATGCTTCTTGATATGTTGTGTGGCTGCAGCCAACATCTCTCCCCTGTTCAAGGGCCGTGGGATCTCCGCTGCATAGAAGATCTTTGTTCCTTGAGTCTCTGTAGTTGTGCTCTATTCTCCTTTGACTGGGGTATGAATTCCAGAAGTTGGATCACATCTCACCGTTTGAATAGCAAATGTCCTCTCTTGAATATTCTATTAAGAGGTGAACATTACAGGCAGCATGAGATTGATTCTTTCTTTCTGAAACTTCTATGCTCCCTTGTGGAAGCAAGTTACTGCTGTCACTAAGAACTGACAGAACCACTGCAAAATCTGAAAAACAAACAAACAAAAAAAACACCCAACGTTTATTTCATTTGTCTGTCTCATTTTGGTAACCATTGTTTTATTTTCAGGAAGCACGGGCTCATATCACTCACCTCATATCATTCAGGGGGTCTGAAAACTGTAAATGAAGGGTACGTTTACTAATTCAAATCACAACTAGTTTGTTACTTCCGTTTCTTGCCTCAAGGGATCCCCTTTTAAGAAAAATGCCTTCTAAATCTCTGCTACTTGAACACTTTTTCCCAAAATTTCTTGAAAAGGGAGCTTTTTTTCATTTACTTACTAATCTTGAAGATAAACTATTCAGTAGACTTGAGATGTCTCAACAGACCCGTCAGCCTCTTCAAGTGTACTTTGGTAAATTCCGTTCTCTTGATTCCCTTACTGGCTTCTCAAGATTAATTTGTAAGATATCTACTTCCTAGTACTTGATTATCTGGCACAGAAAGAAAACGTCTCTGATAGGGCTGTCTTGCCACCAGCATGTACTATTGTTTTGTCACCGAAAAAACTCTAATGACCTTCTGTGTAAGAATATCTCAACTTGCATGTTCCAGAAGCATCATGGTTGCCCAACCAAAACAAGGAATTTGTAGACATGTCATGATTTTTTGTGAAGCAAACAATGACAGATCTCGACTTAGAGGCTGATGCCCAGGATCATGTATGAAGTTATTGCTTGGACTTTTGTGTCAAGTAGCCAAAGAAATTCTTTCACATATCTTAGGTTCTACAGGAGAGAGGTGAAATCTTTGTCTTCAGTGAGCAACATACACTGCAGAAGGAAAGGTTCAGCCAAATTTTATGTGCTCAGAGCTTCATCAGTGTAGTGAGAGTGGTGTTTTCAGTAGTTCTGTCTCTCAAGCTGTTAATGAGAAATGCCATTGCATTTGACAACAGAAAACTAATTTTATACTATCTGCGCATTCGAAACCTGTGGAAATTCAGTGTAGAGTCCTTCTCGTCTCAATGCAAGGATCTATAATCATGAAAAGCAAGACAATGGTAGCCTACTATGCCCTTTGGTCATAGTTGGGTCATCCATTTTTTAAAGAAGCGATTGATTTTTTGAAAGCAGTTAATTTATCTTTAATAGCTTGAAGCTTCCTGGCAAACAGTCCTATAGAACTGCTTCTGTGACTGAAAAAGAATCAGTACTTTCTTATAGGAGAGTGTATCCAGAAATACTATTTATACTCTTCCAGAATGTTTTGCAAGAGACCAGGTGTTTTCATATTTTGTGTTGCAAGATCGCTGCCTATTTTCCAAGCTATCTGATTCACAGAAGACCTGCAGAACTCAAGCAATAGACAGAATAGATTACAGCAATTATACATTCTTTCTGACTCTTTCACCTTTAATTTTTAACCTTAGCAATTAAAGTTAGGGGAACAGGTAGTAAAGATCAGGTGAAAATGAAATAGTGTCTTGAAATTCAAAATCCGTTGTTGCAAAAAATATGCATAATGTCAGGGTTGGAGTTAGTTGTTATCCTCATTTAATTTTTGTGCTTTTTCCCACCCTGTGTTGTTGCTTGCACTTTGTCATCTATCGTACTAGAATTGAGATGGACTTCTCTGATTTTTTAATGATTTTTTTTAATTATTAAAAACTTTTGTTGCTGCTCTTTGACTGTGTGATCATTTAATGTTCTGTACATGACTTACTACAAATCCTGCACTGGATGTTATACTTGGTCAGCTCTGTCTTGAACTTTCTCTGACCCATGAGGCCATCTAACTAGTAGTGAGCTAAAAAAAAAAAAAAAGTATGAAAGCTGTAGGTCTTACGAACGCTGGGGACTCATTTCAAGCCTACCTTAAAAAACTCCAAACCACCACACAATAAAAAGAGGGGGGCAGGGGGGAAACAAGCCTTCTCAAAAGTAACAGGAAAACAAATACTTCTTCTTTGTTAAAGAATTCCTGATTTGGTCTGACTTCCCCAGAAAGCAAAATACATATGGTACTTTCTTTCTCTTTTAAGCTTGTTATTGTCATTTAGACTGTGGGATTACAGAGAAACATGTTGCCACACTTTCATCTTGTATGTTGGATGTTACAAGAGTACGTGCAAAAAAATGTTTGGGCTAGTTTTCCTGTGAGCTTGCATTAAAACAGAGGTACAGAAAGTTGTGCCTCAGTTCATGGAACTTAAAGGTTTTAGACTGATTTTGGTGTTTAAAAGTGCAGAGGTCTTGGAAAAGTGAGCACCTTTAGCTGACTGTGGTACTTGATTTCATCACTTCGTCAAGTAAGTTTAAAAATTCTTCAGGAAATTCAAGATTTTAGAATGTAAATATTGATAACATCTATGCTCAAAGACAATTCTCTTCACTAAAGTATCTTGTCAACGTAATGATACTTTCTTCTTAAAAATAATACAAATAAAATAATAATAATATAAGGAAGCTTCTTTAGGTATTATGACTTCAGGGAAGTTCTCTATATAAATCCTACCTCTCTTCTGCTCTGTAACAATAGTGTCTCAACGATGGCTTCTAAAATGTACAGTGTTGCCTGCATCAAATTAATTTTGTTCGCTATTGTGCATGCTTTTTTTTTTTTTCAAAATTGTTAAAAGTTTATTGCAGGAGATTAGAGCTTGAATTAAAAAAAGATTTCAAAATATCTTCTATTGACATGGTTGATCTGTTAGACTTTAAAACAGTCTAATGTGCATTATCAGGGTGTTTGAAGAAAATTATCTTTGATATTCTTTAGAAAACTAGTGATATTTTTTTTTTTTAACCAGCTAGTGAAAGATTATGTATTGAGGCCAGGAAGGTGTTTTGTTTCATATTAAATGCATCTTTTCTTTACATCACTCCTCTTTCATTCCTCTATTCCAATTAGAAGTTTCTGAATGGAAATTTCTGAACCATATCAAATTCCTGAGAATTTCTCACTTTTTTTTTTTTTTTTTTTGAGCAGCTATAAAGCTCCACATAGAAAGGAATACTTGGAAAACCTGCCTACAGCCAAGGATTTTCTTAAAATGGGTAGAAGGGAATAAATCCTACTTGATATCCTGAGTATAATCTAAATCAGGACACCAGCTTTAATGTCTCACTCTTATCAGTCCCATGCTTTTTAAACTCATTGTTTAATGTGAACAAAACTATAGAGGACTCATTCTGGGTTTTTGTGTTTCTTGTATAGAAAAATGAGAGAGTGCTAGTGGGGTGTTTTGGTACCTTCATCAACTCCACCCTTGCAGATACTGAAAACAGCTTCTTATTAGGAACAGAAATACTGATTTGGGGAGGATATACTTCATGAGGTATAGCTGATTTTGCATAATTATGTAGGTTTATTCTAGTTCCTGAGAAATCAATAGTATTTTAATCAGATTTGAAAATCCAATAATCAGTCCTTAGACCTTTTTAAATACTGTTGTAAGGTTCTTGGATGTGGTTTATCTTGATTTCAGT